GCCACCTGTCTGAATGCTTCTTTGCGCTCTGATTGGCTGTTTGTCAGCCAATCAGAGTGCGAATAAAGCATTATGAACAGACAGACAGATTAAGGCTTTTATGACTTTAGAATGCTGGCCTCAGTTTTTGTTGGTTTTGCCAAACCTTCAAGCCAGAGCAAATATCTGTCCCCTCCATTTTTTTTTTGCCATTCTGTATTTTTTTTTCTTGTTATTGTGAAATGAGCTTCAAGAAGAGTCCTCAAAATACTGTGGAATTAATTTTCCATAGGAGTTTGAAAGAACTCTTTCAGGCAATTCAAGACCTTGAAAACTACAATGAGTTCTACTGGGATGTGATGCAATGCATGCAGGTACACCTTTCTGCTGCAGCTGCTGCTTAGTTCAGCTCTGGCAAGCCTCCTGAAAACAGAGGTGTACAGGACAGTTCCACCTGCTTCCAGAAGAGACCCTGCAGAATCAGACCAGGAAGGGCTGCAGCAAGACAATACTGTGGCAGCTACTTCCTGGTCTGACTTTGCAGGAAGCACTTGGTACAGTTCCACCTCGCCACAGTGATGGTGGCAGTGTGGTTAGTGAATACAATATAATTTTATGGATCTAATCAATTAACCATATATTAATTAATAATATAGTTAAATGCTTATAAATGTTCATCTTTTTTTCAAATCAGGTGCTGCTAAATTTTCCACTTTGAGAGGTGACTTGAGTCTGAAAATGTTGAAAATTACTGTCCCAGAAGTTAAACAAATGCACTGTACAGCCAACTGCTACTAAGAAGAGAAGATGGGTCAAAAGGAAAAGGAAACAATATCTCTCTTCAAGCCTAAAAAGGAAAGTTCTACTCTAAAAGAAAATTAGTGGGAGAGAGGGGGAAAGGGCGGGAAATCAAGAATGGTAAGGATGAGAGTTGTTGGCCAATCTTCCTTTCAGACAGATGCATATTTCACTGCAGTACAAGGATAGTCAAGCAGGTTCATACTAAAGAAAAAGACTGAAGAGGAAGCATTGTATCTAGTGGACAGAGTATGTAATGGAGGATAGAGGGCAGAAACCTGGGACAAAATCCTGAGTATAACAAATTCACCAGGAGTTTGGCCACAGACTTCAATGGGCAGGATTTACCCAGGGTTCTTGTTCTCAAGATTTCTGTTTCTTCCATATACAAAAGATTACACTCTCCATATATCTGGAGCAATGTAAAAACCTCAAATGAGAGGTGCACCATAAGTGCAAGATAGTTCAGTTTAGTTCTTTATATTATTTTGGTGGATGCAATTTGCATCAGTACATCAAATGAATAATGCATTCTTTTCCCACAGAAGGGGCAGAATGTTATTCATGAAAATGTTATTCCTGAAATGAGTCATATAGACCTTTACTTATATATTTATTTATTTTAAATAGAAGTACCTAGTCATTTTGGATGCTTTATTCTTTGGTGTTCAGTTTTGGATCATCAGAGGGGCCTGATTTTCAAAGAGCTTCTGCTCAACTACTTTGGACAAGCAGGGTCCTTTAAGTCTAAAGAACAAAAGAACTGCCTTACTGAGTATTCTCTCTCTGACAACAGCAAAGATCAGTTGTTTTAGAGGAAGAATAAAAGAAACAGGACATGTAGAGAATGATCCATTCCCTGTCTCAGCTTCTCGGTTCTAAGCAGTCATGGGGCTATGGATATCCCTGACATCTCTCGAGTATGCAAGTAACTAGTCACCATTGAAAATTTAGGCCATAATCTTTGAATTCTAACATTTTAATTAACTAAGGCAACCCATGGGAACTAAACATGAACACTGAAAGCCACCTGGCAAAAGTGTTTCAATGGTTCTCCAATACAAACCCTATAATTCTTCTCTCAGAATATTCTTTTCTTTTGTTTACTAGTGGTGCAGCAATATTGAAGAAAGTTCTTCTTGGGACATTATGGTTCATTACAGATGCTCGCAATGGAGGAATTCTGCTCATCAGAATACCACAGGAAGCCACATGCCTGCAATGGTGAGAGTGTTATATTAATTTGTGTTTTGAATTAGCAAAACAACTTATAAATACATTTTAGTGGCATGTAGGCAATCTGTTACGCTGCATTCCTGAAAAATTTGGATTCATATGAGAGAAACTTCACAAGAGTCAGTAAGCTGTCTAGGGTGCAAGGTTTTGTTTTGGTTTTTTTGCCATAGGAGAAACTAAAAATAGCTTACAGTCACGAGAAAAAATAACTGACGCACAGCAAGACACAAAGGCCTCCCCCTTATAAACTTGGCTTTACATCCATCAGGCCACGTAATAAAACTTATTTCAACTCACAGAACAGCACTTCCTACTAATATTCAAGTTGTTTTCAGAAGTCATCTGTTCCATTTTGTCCCTTTTCTAACTACAGGAGCAAGAATTACAAAAAAAAGTTTGGATGAGAGTACATAGCTGAATTCCATTATAAATACATTCTCCTTCACCTCTGCCCTCAATTTCTCTTAAAAGCCAGTTTCTAACTGCAACTCAATTCCCATGGAAAATCATCATGTAAAACTTTGAACTCATGTATTTTTGGAAATAAAACCTCATCACACTTTGAGGAATACTAGCAATTTTAAGGTCACATTCGTCAATTCTGGATTACAGAAAATACAAAACACATCGTACTTAGATGTTCAGTATAAATCTCTTGATATTTATGAACTTTCTACATAGTTAAATTTTAGATTCTGCCTAGGTAAAGCTCTCCAATTTTTAAGCACCACACACACATTCTTTGACAAATATTCACCTTGAAAGTCCTGATTTTCATCATCAAGGAGTTAAGAGATCCACAACCTATCAGTAGTCTCCTCTTCCTATTAGTTAAAGAACAAGCTGTTTATTGTGTTTTCTTATAAACCAATGAGAGGCATAACTCTAGAATCACGCAATCATAAAGATAAGTTAAAAATGGAACTGACCTTCCCCATTTATTTACATAGCATACTGGTGGATACCTTCAGTAGGCAAGGAGAAGCTGTATCTAGCAAGCTGTAGTTACTACATAAACAGTCAACTATTTAGAGAACAGGCTATTAACTTCTGGCCTGTAACTTAACTTTTTCATGTCTGGACACATCTTGCTAGGAAGTAACTCATGCTAGGTATGATGCAGAACAAACTACAACTATTTAAATTATAAACACTGAAGAGAAAAAAGAATTGGAATTGCACCGAAGGTGCAACTGAGAGTATTATAATAGGGAAGGGGAAAGACTACGTAGGGCAGTTGTGCTCAGCCACCAACCCACAGGCCAAATCTGGCCTAGAAACATACATCACCACAGGACCAGAAATTTGACAGTGGGGAAGCAGTGGCAATTAACACTGCCACCACTCTTCTGCTGTCAAATTTCCAAGCTCCAAGGGCCAAGTAACAGTCCTGTGAATGGGGCTGGGTCCATGGGCGCAATCTGGGGATACACAGCAGAGGCTAGAGTCCAACCAGCCTGCAGAGCTGGGGCCCTGGCCAGGCTGGCCTTGCACACTGGACTGGATCTCAGCCAGGCCTGCCCCACACACTGCACTAGACAGACGCATGGACCAGCCTTGCTCCCCCCATCTAGCCTTCAGGGGTGAAAGGTTGGGCACCACTGATCTAGGGAAAGCGCTGACCAAGATTTATTTGTTTTTGGAATAGTATCTCAAGAGTTGTGGATAATATTTTGTTACTAAAAAGAGGGCTGGACAACATGGCCAAAGAGGTACCAAACTGGACCAATCTCACATTGGCCATATGACATGAAAGGCTTATTTGTTTGTTTAAACAGGCATTCAGAAAACTGAGAGCAGACCCTTATTTTGGAATGAAAGCCCCATTTTTTTCATTTAAATTAGCTTTGGTATTAGGCTATACAGAGACCATTTTCAAAAGGAATGTGTTTAACATAATTGTAGAGAAAACTGTTGTTTCAAATCATTTGCCAGACACTTCCATAATCCAATTCTAAAAGGCCACAGAGAGTAAGCAAATCCCATTTTAGAACTCAAAAAGTACCTGGCTTCTACTGTGTTCACCCCACTTTGGAAATAGTGCAAACAACTTTAATATTTTTATGTATTTATTTTTTGTCTAATTCCAATTATTTGCTGCTTTATCATATGAACACTAACCCAGCCATAAGGTTCTCGTTCCTCAAAATGGAAATAATTACCACTGTATCATAGAGATGAACGAGATATACATTCAATTACATTTTTTTAAATTAAAAAGCCCCATTGGTCACAGTTATAAGGTTACAGCTGAAAAAATAATGTAATGTTAAAAGAGATCTCCAACAGATAGTAGTTATATAAGACTGACGCTAGTGCTAAGGCTGTATCAATGTAGGTTATCTACAGTATGCCAAATGTCACTTTCATAAAGTTAAGCCATCAAAAGCCATGTGACAAGCTGATCTCATTCCAGTTCCCAGTGGACAGCTGTCCATGTCCTGAAAACCAAACACTGCCAACATCCCAATTATAATCTTTCAGACTAAATGTCCACAAAAAGCTAAATTTCTGCTTCAACCCTAGAAGTAGATTCCTAACCCTGTCACAGTACCTGCTGTGTTAAACAGAAGGTACTGATGACTGTACCAATAAAGAGAAGCCATCTTTGCTTTTCAGGGCAATCAATCCAGCACCTTTTAACCAGCTTTAAACTCGCTTAAAAATGTTAAACTAAGAATATACAGATATTTCATAGATTAGTTTATTAATTTGCACCAAGTCTAACCATTGCTGTTCTGTTCTAAGCAAGCCTGACAGAAATGGTATAAGATCTCAGTCTACCCTGATGGTACATTTTAATGAACTCATTACCTACCCTTTGCAGATCACTAAACATAACATGCACACCAAGCCAATTGCTGCAAGATGACCTCCAGAGGAATAATTTTTGTAAAGAAGAATTGCAAGCCATTGTAATAGCAAACTGACCATTTTCTCCCACACTGGAAGCCAACTTTTAAGAGGCCTTATATCATTTTTACTGTAAATTAATGATTTAATAACTGATAAATTGAAAGTCTCTTGAACATTATCAAGAACTCAAAGATCATAGGTACCAGGCAACCGGTACCTTCAAATCCTTACTCGTTTCCTGGCTTTTTACCCCACACCTATGCAGACAGAGCAAAATCCAGATTTTGAAGAGCCTGAAAGCAACTGCATGGTGGAAATACGCAGCACAGCTATCATTCCCTCCCTCCCATTGTGCAACTTTCCCCTCTATTTTCCACATTTGCTCTTTTCTGTAGTAGATGAAGAAAAAGTGTGCGTGTCACAGTGCTCTGTGAAGGAGCAGTCTTCATTTTTCTCTGTATAACCAATCACCCACACATTAAACAGATGTAAGGATTTCACACCGCCATTATGCAAACTACAAGTATAGCTATGCAAATTTTAACGTGAATATACAATCACTTACTAAAGTGGAAAGCATGTGCATAACAGCAAGGAGGAGCTCTACTCCCCTAACAGCTCCTCTCTCCCTCCCTGAAATAAGCCTTCCTGACTCCTAAACACACACTCGCTTTTAAACAATGTATGTGTAAGCGGGCCAGAAAGTGTCTGGACACTAAGGGATGGCAAACCAGCAACACCAGTGCCACTGCGAGGTGCGGCGCAGGAGATCAGCAGTAGCAGTCAGGGAGGGTAATCCACAGTATGCCTGCCACAGAGCTCGGCCCTGCTGTACTGCAAACCTACATGCCCCTTATTTGGTAGCATTTAACCGGCGGGGGCCTGCCTTCAATCCAGAACGAAGACCAGACACTAAATAGTATAAAAACCCCACCCTGCTGCTCACGCCCTGCCCGAGGCCGGCGACATCCCTGCGGGCAGAGGAAGCGCCTTAGACGGGGCAAGGGAAGTACTGCGTCGGCTCGGCTGCTACCAGCCCTTTCTTGCCGGTCACTAAATCAGGGCAGGCGCTGGCCCAGACAAACCCCCCCGGACTGGGCACTCCCGTCGCCCCGGCGGCACGTTCTCTCTTCGCTTAGCCTTTAAAGGAAGCGGCAGCGCCGAGCCCCGCCCCCCTCAGCCGCGGCTGCGGCCCCGCGCGAAGGGCGAGGGACTGGCTGTCACTGGCCCTTTAAATCCCCCGGCGGCCCGGTACCTGAGGGCGTCTCTGCGCGGCGGCGCCGCCAGCCCCTCGGCCAGCGCTTTGCCCAGCGCGCGCCCACTCCGCGCCATCTTCCGCCCGCTCTCCCACCCCGCGGCGCCGCGCTAGCCGCACAGCCCAACGGCTGCCAGCGCCCGGCCCACCCCTTCTCTCCGCGGAGCCAATCATCACACGGCAGCGCCGTGCACTCCGCCTATCGGCGCGCGTAGATGCCTTAACGTCACCGGCGAACGTCAGCGCCCCCAACACACCCCTCCCACTCCCACTCTCGGCGCGTGATCGGCCTGGTCCCGGCCCAGCCACTCGCAGTCACAAGACCGGGGGCCGCCTGGGGTTCGCAGGGGTTACGTAAGGGTGCGAGCCGCGGGGGCGGGGCTGGAGTTGCACTCGCTCTCCTGATTGGCCACAAGGGGTGTCGCTCAGCGGACGCAATGCGGGGAGGGCTATATTTGATCTTGACCGCACATGGCCTGTGTCCTGACAGGAAGGGGGTGGTTGGTTAGAGCGAGTACGGCGTTCCTATGGGGGCAAGGCGGGAAGCTCGCCTGGGACTTGCGTGGGCCGAGTTCAGCTCTGTGTCCTGCCTCCCCGCATCTGGGGGCAATCTGAGGCGTAGGAGCCGGGGTGAGGGCTTGTGGGGAGGGGCCGCTTCCTTCTCAGCCTCCCCCGGCCAGCACTGTGCAGCGGGCGAGACAGGGAGCCGCATGGAAAGAGTCTCCTGGGCTCTGACTTGTGTACAACAGACTACCCCATTCCCTCCTCACGGAGCGGGGGTTATAGTAGCCAAGGAGTGCTGAAAGAGACTTGCACAGAGTGAGGAAAAGCAGGCTCCAAATCATTACAACTGCTCTTGTGCACCAGCTGTGCCATTGCTCTAACTGATTTTTCACATAAAGCACCAACAACAAATCCTAGACTTAACTGCTGCCTTGCAATGACGTTGCCAATCTTTTACCTGTTGCAGGCACAAGGTAGCTGCACGGATATTTGTGGGTGGGACCTGGCATTGCACCAGCTGCATGCTTTTGAATGCAAGGCATTCTTCATCAGGCCTGAGGAAAGAAGTGGCCCCAACACTAATTAAAACCAGTGGGTAAACGGATGAGATGGGAGGAGAGAAATTCTCAGACATAAGAGACAATTAGCAGAAGAAAAGAAACTTGAGTGATGAGAGATCAAGACCTACCGAAAGAGAGGAGGGTTGTTATTACCTGTAGTGTGAAGGAAGAGTTTCAGGGTGTAGCACACCGTAAAGTCAAAACCAGTGTTCAGTCCTTGGTTCTTAGTGGCCAGCCAGTTCATACATTTTTGTTCCCAAACTTGCCTTCTAAAGGTGTTTGGTAGATTTCCCTTCAGTACGAGGATCTGAGGTTAGAAAGGGACTGGTTAGTTTGTGAGATATGTGCTCCTACTCGTCTTTGTGCCTGACCTTTTTTTTTTCTCTCAGTGATTTTTATACCATGAATGGGCTGCCTTCTCATGGACTTGTGAAGGTTTTGGTGCACTGCCAGCTCAGAACTTTCAACCAAGAGGTGTACCACCAACACATTAAATTACACCCCCAAAGTGAAGTAGATGTAGCATGCTAGCGATTTGTGACTGTATAATATCATTAAACAAGGAACTCATTGCATTGGATGGCTGAAACTGATTGCAGCAGATCATACTTCAGTGCATGTAGGCCCTGATGCTTAGGGTGCTTTCAGGCTGTCTCTCCTGTGTTCTATTTTTAGCTTGGATTGTATTAGATTAATTCATCAAATTCACCACTTAGCGTCTAAGGTGCTACCCTGCCTTGCCTTCAAGTTTATTTGAGAGATTATACTCTATAGCTGCACAGCTGAAGGGGAAGGGCAAATGCTCCTAGCTCAACAAAGACTTCATTGCCAACTTAATCTGCGTGTTTTATAATTTCTTTCCAAAACTATTTTGTGGGACTATATGTTGTGCTCGTTCATAAGACTTCAGGCATACTCTCTCACTGCTGTTTCATCTAGGTATGATCCCCCTTAAAGCATTAAGAATTCAGGGCTTACAGGATTTAGAACAACTGAAGGATTAAGAGCATAGATTTGAGACGATGAGTATTTGTGGGCAGTTACTTTAGCTTATTTTTCAAACTCTAGCTCATTTTTCAAACTCAAGGATCCTGTTCCTACACCAATGTTAGATGGTCTCCTATTGTCTGAGATTGTATTTGTGTTAGTTACATCAAATAGAAATATTAATGTAAAATTAACTTCTAAGAGAGGTTCCCAAATAGTCTGATACGCCATTATAATTTATTAAGGATGACCGTGGTGTAAGGATGCAAGTTTTCGTGATTTTTCACACCAAAGAACAGCATACATTCAGCAATAAATGTAACTGGATTAACCATTTCTTCTTTAAATGTCTTGCTGATCCTGTTAGCTTCTGGCCAGAGGTTGCACTGAAACAAGATGGAATCTATTTACTTCACCGGAGTGCATTTGCCAGGGGTTCTCACCTCTAGCCTGAAATTAAGATGTCAGAGCATCAAGGGGGAAACGCACCAATCAAGCACTCCATTAATCCAAGAAGTAATGGACAACGACCTTGTTTCAGTAATACTCCCTGTTGTTTAAAAGGGGATCACCTCCTGTTTGCACTATCTTTTAAAAGAAAGGAGTGAATCCATCCTGTGTTTCTATTAGAGATGTCTTAACTCGGGGGTGAGTAAAATATGGCCCACAGGCTGGATCCAGTTCACCAGGGGATTCTGCCCGGCCCACGGCAGGTCCCTTCACCCCACCCAGCCCAGGTGCAGAGGGCAGTCCAGGCCATGGCACATGTGGCCAGTCCCGGTGTCCATGGGCACAGAGGTGCCACCTGGTGCAGCCCGTTCCATTCCCACACACAAGTCATCAGTGCACCGGGAGCTGTAATCTGTGGGGCCATAGGGTGGGGTGGTGCAGGAGCCAGACTCTGCTTCCTGGAAGGCCCTACTGCTGTCACCAGAAAGAAGGTGCACACCCCACTGCCACCGCCATCAGGCATGGCCCCATTGCCCAGACACCTTAAATCTGTCTGGCACCGGGGGTGCCAGATGAAGCTAGCAGGTGGGCAGGGTCTCCATAGAGACCAGCCTGGGACCTCTGCAGGCAGGGGTGCTCAGCCAGGCGGATGGGGTGGGGCCACAGCTGAAAGCAGGACGTGTGGGTGGGGGCTGGGACTGGGGCCAGGATCAGGATTCCAGGGCAGTGACAGTGTGGTGCCAGGGCCCAGGGCAGAGCCACAATCTTCTCCCTGCACATCTCTGCGTGTAGAACCTGTACCCATTGCAGGAACCTGCGGGCAACAGATTGCAGCTCTGTCCTAGGCCCTGGCCCTATGTTGTCAATACCCCAGGATCTGGGCTCTGCCCACCCGTCCAGCTCCCCACCTGCCCTTGGCCCCATCCCATCCACCTGGCTAAGCACACCCTGCCACATGGGGATTCCCAGGCCAGTCTCCGTGGGGACCACACCTGCCTGCTCTGTCTGGTACCTCCAGTGGCACGTATGGAGCAGATGGGCAGAGGCCAGATGGGATCATGTGGTCCCCCTCCCCCACTGCTACACTAAATCAGGTCAGTACCCCCCCCCGCGCCCCCCTTGCAACAGCTCACAGAAACTTGTTAAGTGACCCTCCATCCCAAATTACTGTCCACCCCTGGCTTAACTCCACCAGGTAGTACAGGGCTGTGAATTTCAAGTGGAGGTGGGCACCTTCCTGCAACCCACAATTAAGTGCTTACAGCCTCAAGAGGGTTGGGGATTACAAAACACCTTGTCCTCAATGTTTTGTATTTACTATTTTAGGCATCTCCAGCTAAGCATTATGAATTTAATTGTGAGTTGGTATCTAGCTTCTAATTAATATTAGAATTAATATTCTAATAGGGGGACCAGTGCATATATCCTCAGGAGGCCTCAAATGCCTCTACACAAATGCTAGTAGTATGG